TTTACACTGTTTTCAATGGGGCTTGAATTAGTGGACTGGACCCTTTGGGTTACTTTCGACATCATGCGGTCGACGTTCGGATGGACGCTCATGGCTGACTCGCTACGCCTCTAAACTGCAAACGTAGCAGGTAAGCGGCCGTGTTTTCGAATTCTTGTGGAACCGTGCGACAAACTAACATTCAAACCATTGTAAATGTGTTATCTTGTCTAAATCGTCGCTATAGTTTTTTGCGTCTTAGAACAGGGAAATTACCAATAATTGCATAAATTGTAAATGGCGGCCACCTTAAGAATAAAATTCAACCTGGACTCTGAACAATATGTTTCTTGGCCTTACTATTAACAAATGAAGATGGCTGCCTGGCTTTGTTTCACCTGACAGCAGGCCATTGTAAAATCACCGCATTTTCACGCTGGACCATTTTTAATCAATCTGTAAAATTTTCATCATCTTTAGGTGTTGCTTCGTCTCGGAAATAATCCCCACTGAAATGCATTATGGTATCTCGTGCAAGTCTGAGTGAAGGAAACATGCTTTCTTTACTAAATCACTGTTGTTGCAGCTACGTGCGTACGTGTCGCGGGACGTCCAAAGTATTTTGAAATATTTAGGTGTTAAGGGGACCAGAAATTGTTCCTGACTCCCCCCCCTCCATGTCACCATAACGCGGGGAGGGCCCACCCTAGAACCATGCACTATTTTTCATGCCAGTATAAATTACTAAGCAACAAAATTTTAATAACCTAAAGGAGGCGGGGCGGACACAACCCCCTCCACTGACAATTTCTCCAATATTATCGTCACAGTGTAATTCTTCACGTGCCGAGTCTCGTAAGTTTTTTTGTAACATCTTGCGGTAGCCTGGACGCCAATATGTGAAATTCGTACACGCTGTTCTCACGCACAGCCTCTCTCTTCTGGGACAAGTCAGCCAAAAATATACCGTCAGTGCCGCAACGCCAAAAATAGAGTGGCCTTTTTCCCCACGCGGAAAAAATCATCACCACATCATTTCCCGGAGTTCGCGGTCATGCCTGAACCTGTACGACTGTTTAATGGTAGCCAATACATCACTCCAGTCCCCTTTCTAACTACATTTCATTATGCTGCTGTGGAAGTACATTTGTAGCCACGCCCCCAAAACCACCACGAGCAGCGAGGTGGATTTTTTTTTTTACTACCAGGCCATTTCACGGTCATATGGGCGTCTTGAGGATACCAATCTTTCAAAAATTCTTACTCTGCAGTGGTTGGGGTCTGGCCAATGGGAGTCTACAGGCTTGTGGTGTATGCCTGGGGTGAAGACTGCATGAAAGTATTGCCAAATTGGCCAATTGAAAAAAATGTTATGACCATATTAGGTCATATGTGGATACTTTATTCACCGGGAGGTTGCCACCAGGTTGCACGTGGGCCTTGACGTGTGATGCTGTGAACCAACACCGGATCGATTTGAAACTTCAAAGTTGTTTTAATGACAGTGTCCTTATATGCACGCTAAGCTTAATAAAAGATCAAGCACGTAACAGCCGAGTTTTTAGGGGGCCGGATCTCCCCAGTTGTGAGACGGTCTGTAAAAGCCCGGCTCCTTCGGGATTAAAGTGTACCCGCAATGCATATTTCTTAGACGCAATTGTTTTGCAACTTTATAATTTTCTCCAATGTATGAAAACTCTTTTACATATGATTTTATATCTGTCCCTATACGGTAAACTGCACTGAGAAGTGCACTTTCTGAAACACTTAAAATTATCAATGCGATCCTGGACAACTGGGGGCGCCGTGGCTGTTACGTCATCCAGAAAAAAACACTGCATTGCACGGTTTTTTTTTTCTTTTAAATTGTAAACCCAAAATTTTCTCACTGAAAACATTTCTGAGAAAAGGAATGATGCTCATCTGTTGCTTGCACATAAACAATGAATCAGCACTGAGGAGAAAATTTAGCCCAGCAAAATCTACAAAAGTGCAGGACTTTTTGTGTGTACAGAGGTAACATATAGGCTTCCTTCCTGGGATGACACCACAATTTCGCTTATGAATATGGAGATTTAATTAGCATAAGACAAAAAACACGGTAAAACCCCCTTTGAAATGGTGAAACATAAGATGAAAATCAGGTTAACTGAGACACACAGGTGCATTTTGAAGGTTTGTATTAAAATAAAGTGATTGCAGCTACACAGTTTAAAGACGGTATGTGAATACATAATCTGAGGCCCCCTTTCTACAGTCCCACCGGGGAGCTGTAGACTCACAAAGGAATCACCTTGAATCAGCTGGAAATTAATATGACAATACTTACAATGTTTCAACACATCGTTATTCTGTCCTGCATGGAAGCAGCAGTCGAACAAGGAGCAGTTTCACCGACCAAAACGGCAGTAGTGTATTTCCAATGATGGATCTGACGGAGGGATGGAAGACTTCTGTGATGAACGGGGCCCACTTGTCATGAATCTTCGACAAGGATGAGTGACTGAGGTGTGCTGAGTGTCAAATTTTATAAGCTCTCGGGTAGTCAGGGAATTTTGTTTTAGTGCCTAACCCCATGATGATGAATTGAAAACGCCTTTTATAATAATACGACATAGGGCCACAAAAAGCGCGTCACGAGATGGGTAGCTAGGGGGCCGATCGACACGCCCGGTAAAAAGAGCTGCGTTGGAGTTTTGTAAACTTGGTATTATGTTCGAAAGTTCGCAAGACATCTAGACTTATAAGTTGAAATGTGAGAATACAAATAAATCGGTGAACCCCTACTTCACCAGTTATTCCTGCTCTTGTAAAAAAGGGCTCGATTCCAAATAAACCCCCGGCAAAAAGAGACGCGTTCGAGTCTTATTATAAACTTTCAAATCATATCGATCTCGCCCGTATGGCATCACTTGCTGACCCGGCACAATGACACCCGGTTCCCCACCTCGTTAATTATATGTACATGTACTTAAAAGGCCCATGTGATGAAGCCGATGCAATATGATGTTCAAGTTTTGTAGTGAAATCTCAAGGGCATTTTGGTGCCTCTTTGATAGACATTTATGAGCAAACTGTGTTGTCATCCTCGGCAGAAACTTGAACCTCGGTATCACAGGTGTTTCAGCACTAGAAACAATTGCCAGTATCTTTAATATTTTCTGTTCTTTTGTGATTTCTGAATGAAGGGTTGTCTTTCTGTAAAGACGTCAAAGCAACACCCCACCCCCATTTTCAGTGAAAGCATAGAAAATGTTGGAAGTTTTAAAAGTTTTTTTATGGAAACAACAAAAAGAGCTGTAATTTTTTTTTAACATTTAAGAGTAGACAGTTGCATACATATTCCCATGTGAAATGCACACCACAGACTCCTGATAAAAACTGTGCTTCATAATTCCACATTTACGTGTATTTTTCATACCTTCTGTAATGTCACATTGTCAAAACTAGAATATTTTCAATCAAGTTTTCAGATCAAAGTAGGCATGTTGCCAAGACAATACATATGCAACAAAGCAACAAGGATACTTTTAATTGTCTCAGCGAAGTAGGAAAACTGTCTTTCAATCTACACATTCTGTTGGGTATTTGATTTGGATAGGAATTAGACTGAATCCTCCAGTCTAAAGTAACATGTGAAGTAACAGTGACTCAGTGATACCTTCCAAGCCTCCAAAATCCTCCCAAATGAGCTTAGTTTTGAAGGGCCTTGATGGGTTAGGATTATTTTCTTACCAATGTTAAAATTTTTAACCTGTTTCCAACTGATCTCTTCCTATTAAAGTAAAATACAACTAACTGAAAAAGCAATTTACAGTCAAGTGAAATTCCTTTCGAAGTTCTAAATGTATGCCCTTTAATACTTCATGGTTGTGTGGTCGTGGTGTGAGATGAATAATTTTCTGATACCCACAGAGTACTCTTTCAGTAATATTTTAATAGTTTGGCCAAACCATGCAAACGTAGCAAAAGAGCACATACAGCTTTTAACCAGTTACACAATGCAGCATGTTCAACCAACGGTTTAAAAGTCATCAGTGTGATCTCCTCTGAAAGATCTCTTCATTTTCAAGCAACTGCTATCTCTTCTCACGTCTCCTGGAGTTTTTGAGACCCTCCAATGGAGAATGCATGTCCCTGTGCTTACTCTTCTTCTTGTGCTTGCTACTCTGGCTTTTCTTCCTGCGTCTGTGGTGACCCCTCATCGAACTCGAACCATCATCTGAAGGTGTCCCCCCTCTCAGAGGACTTGTACTTCGCTTCCCACGCCTTTTCTCCTCATCACTAGCACTACCGTGATGGTTGTGCGGTCTCACTAAACCACTGGGCTTCAATTTGTTGTCCTCTTCTCTGACCAAACCTGGGTCGAGGCGTGACAGTCCCGAAATTCTTCCTGCAGGGTGGCCGTCACTCTCAGCTGTCGGTGCTTCCGAGGACATCACGTTGTGACTGGCCTTGTTCAAGATTCCACTCGGGGCTAATTGGGGGTTGTGACCCTCAGCAATATCTTGGAATTGCCTGGACTTGAATGTTCTCGAATCCTGCCAGTACTTCTTCCGGCGATGCCGAGAGTCGGTGTTGTCGCGTAATGTGCTCACAAGTGTATTGTGCAAGAACCTTTTGTTTGTGGTAGCTCTCCTCTTCTGCCTATAATTGAACACAAGATACATATGCTGGGTTATTTGTGAAACCAAGTGGACAACTGGTGGTCCTCGATGCATCCCTTTCGTTTTCTAAATGGGCTACTAGAATACGAGGATGTAAATGCGAGGTGACTGTTATTTTAACCAAAAGCTCTTGGTAGCGAACAAGGAATGAGCACGGAATGGGAACAGGTGAACCACTTCAGAAAACCACTCCATGGGATGCTTCAAAAGACTTGAAATTGGTGACGGGAAATGTGTGGTCAACTTAAAAACTGCTCTACAAAAGCACCAATTATATGCACGCTTTAAGTACAACATGTACAGTACATGTATGCCCCTTCCAGATGACTGCAACAAAAAATATCTCTCTCCTACAAAAAGTTGGAGAGATTTCTCTCTCAGTAAAGAAATGCAACTCATTACTCAAGCTTGAACAATGCAACCTGTTACTTTAAAAGGAATCCTAACTGCTGCTTTTAGCACACTAATATAATCACTGGCAGCATCATTTGTCTTGTCAGAAGATTTAGGAACACACATGCCCATCTATCACTTTCATTACCTTAAGTGACATGTTAATTATCCGCCACTCTGTTGCCATGACAATTTGAAAATTATTCCAGTGTATTGTTATTCGCCGGTGTAAAGATTTCAAAGTGTAACTATTAGTATTACCATGGTGTTTTATATATATGAGCCATTTTGTTAATTATGCTGATTTTCTGTTTTGGTTTTATTTGTGCCAAAACACGGCTACATTTTCTTCATGTGCAGAACACTTATGATCCAAATCTTGAGGTCAATAAATTTAACTGTTTTAAACCTCTCCACATCTTCTACCAACTCAAATACTGAAGAGGTCTGCTTCAAATCTACCTGTATATCATCTAAAACAAATATCATTTCAAACAAACGTTCAAATGAGCTGCTGGCTCTATTGTAACCAACCAATGAAACCGTTTTTCTACAATTTAGAATCAAATTTTCAGTTGTTTACCACAAGACTGTCACAATTCTCTCTGCGGTCTCCCTAATCCTTTGAAAATGTTTCAGCATGATGATACCGTAGACTAACAAGAGACCAGCATCTAAGGTTATCTGCGTGATGCCCTTCAAGAGGATGTACCACAATCATGAAAAAGAGAATAAAGTCAAGGAAAGCAGATAACAGGATATGAAGACTGAGTGAAATTGAACACGTCAGGAGGAGTCAGTGGGAATGTACCCACCGTGATGGCAGCAGTCAGAATTTACAAATGGCTAAACTGTAATTTGAAGAGGACAAGGCAATGGTAGAGAGATCGATGAAGTCAGTGAAAATTACTGGAGTACATGTACATACATGTTCTGTGCCAAACCAAATGCTGTAATGCACATACATTTGGATGATGAGACAGACGGCACGGACCAAAAAGGGTCATCTATCAACTACATGTACTAGTATGGAGGTTGGCTGCAGCAAGTAATGGGTGCCTTTACATCAAGGGAACAACCGACGGTAGGTTAAATGGCATGGATGTCAATATAAAGCTTCAGGTTTCTTACAAAATGTAAAAGAAATGAACGGCAATGCAGCCCTTTTCCATGTATTATGTAACAGAACCAAGGGTTTGTATGTACGTATGTCTCATAGTGTCACATGATTTGGGGGGGGAGGGACCCATAAAGATCCTCTGAACCCCCTACTGCCCCTACTTCTTTAAATTATGAAGATAATCTGCATGAGCAACCTGCACTGAGTCAATTACATGAACCAGTTGTGGTTTGTTATTCTTACAGCAGTGAAAATGAAAAATCAACGAAACAATGCACGACAGATAAATGCATCTCCTGTGGGCATGAATGTGCAACAGATACTGTAGGCATCCACTGAAACATTTCCAAGTAGCTATCACAAACACATCCTGATGTAATAAACATGGGCATGTTGGATAGTCAAACAGATATCTAGATTAAGCTATATACATGTATTCCATGACTCATTTGTGTATGCAATCATACAGTTGACACTCTTCCCACTGTTCACAAAGAGACTCCTACCAGCACCAGTGTGTGAATGTAGGTTCCTACAGGTCTTAAAAGCCATTACAATCGTCACACTGTCCACAAAGAAACTCCTACCAGCACCAGTGTGTGCATGTAAGTTCCTACAGGTCTTAAAAGCCATTACAATCGTCACACTGTCCACAAAGAAACTCCTACCAGCACCAGTGTGTGAATGTAGGTTCCTATAGGTCTTAAAAGCAATGTCATTCTGCATTCTTCATCAATACCCTATCCTCAATCCCCCCCCCTCCAAAAAACTCTAAAAGTTCACACAAACCCCTTCCAAGAGAACCCAACCTAAGTCATAACTTTAAATCAACTGAAACATACCATTAAAAAATCACCTAGACCTAGAGACACCCCACTTGTCCAAAAACTTATAACAGGAAAGGGAAACAGGATAACGTGAAACTAAACTGTATGAGACTAACCTTCAAAGCAAATCAAAATGTACACTGCGTGTATAATGCTGTTTGGGGCAGTTTTCCTTCATAACAGAAAGTGTCTACAAAAAATGTACGTTAACTTCTGGCTTGGATATAAGGTGACTGCACTAGCAGTTTATTAACCCTTTCTGGTAGCTGACCAGATAATAAGAATGATAATACTGTATGCACACCCACACAGCAAATATTATGAAAGAAAAGAAGTCAAATACATACATACAAATCACATTCAAAGGCAATTTCAAAATTCTTGCTTTCAAAAGATTAAAGTTTACCCATGAATTTCCCAAAGGGGATCAGCCAAGCCCAAGAAAGGCTGAAAAACAAGCTTGAAAACATGAGGGGAAAAAAAGGGAAGGACAAGGGAAAGAACAAAATCTACTTCTTCTGGAGGATTCAGTGTTCATTGCTTTGTGGTTGGACAGCCTGGAGTAGACAGTCTTTGTTCATTCGAGGCCAGAGAGGCGATCAAGAACAAACACAAACGCCTTGGTTCTCCGGGCATCATTTTCCCATGAACAATGTCACTGTCTACATGTACTGACGTACTCCAACGCATGTAGATATGCAATTTATCATTTTATCATCGGCCGGAGAAGACCGAGACTCAAGTTTTTCCTTTAGGGGTAATTATTTCTATCTTTATTTAATTAAATTAAAGACCAAACCTCTAAATCAGCCAAGGACTCTTGTCAACAGCCCCCAGCTTTCTTCTATTTGCCCAGATTAAGACTCCTGCACTGCAAGATTGTTCTTCTTTCATTACAGTTTGGATTCCGTTCTTGGCATTTAGTACATGTACTTGTTGCAGATTCCTGGTACCGGAAGCTGTTAGTTGTGGGTGATTAAATCACCCCCCAAATATTTTTTTTACCCAAAACTGTTAACTCTGCAATAAAAAGAGCTCCTCAGAAGCTGTCTCATTACACATTGTGGCATTAAAGAACACATAACACTCTTTCCAAGCTCACAACTTTTGCTTTGCTCTTTACAAAGGTTATTGAAAAGCAATATACACATACATGTACGTAAAGAGCTTTCCTAGAGCTTGCTTGGGTGGGAATCGAACCCTCTACCTCCAGTGCAGGTGTATGTGCTAGTACACCACAAGATGATATAAAAATTGTTTTCACCCTGTGAGATGATGATACATGTATAAAAACATTTTTTTTTAAGTTACACAAACTATGTTATGAACATCTGGTCCTGATTTCAAAATTGCAGGCACAAAGCGAATAGCACATTTACAATGTACGGAAAATATACACAAATGCCTAGGCACTTAGGTACAGAGGGACTCAGGTCTGTGGTTATTTACACCTCTGGAGAAGCTTTTAAGTGTGAGATGGCATGAGGGTGCGATCCTATCTCCAATCAGAAGCACTCCATGTGGAAATAACTGGTGCCTAGTGGCTTACTGCAAAGCCACTGAATTTGTAGCAGACACTGAAATCAACTCTTCCACTCATTTGCTAAAACCACAAGAAAACTAAACATCCACAAAGTGCACATGGTAATTTTGGCCATCAAAAACAAACATTTTTATACACTTTCCATGGCCCCATTCTAATAGCTGCAACAGTTGTTTATTTTCTTGAGTGGATAAAAATGATCACTTGTTACTCAGACAGCTCGAGATCATGGATTACACCCAAAGGTCTTGATGCACAAAAACCACTTGGCCTCATGCTTTTATGCACTACTGAAAGGACATACCAGTATCAGAGCAAGGGTTAGGATTTTTATCACCCCCTTTCATAACAAACTATGATGACATAAATCCGTGCGCAGCGCAGCATGACCAGGAGAAGGCCAAGAGGGTGCTTATTTTGGAGAGGGCCTGGGTATTTTCTGACATGGATTGGAAGAGTTTCCTTCAATCCTTATAGTTTTCTTCAAATGATGATACAGATTGCACAGCTAGTACATACCATCCATAAGTCCCCATTGTTTGTGCTCTCTCTTTGGCTCTCTTGGCTTCATTCATAAGTTCCTCCACAGCAAGCCTGGAAAGCAAGTTGAAAGAAATGAACAAGTATGAACCAAACTGGAAGAAATTAAAGAACAAAATGCATCAGTCATGTTTCTTAAAATGGTTGATTCTTATTAAAATGTATAAATCCGTGAAGTCCACTGTGTTGCCACAAGGACTGACATACATGTACACGTACCTCTGACATGGCAAATGGCACAGAATGTGCATTTTCAGTTTTCAGCTGAATGTGCACAAAACTTGATGATAATCAATGGGCAGAGACAAAAGTGGGTTCAATTTCATGGCAGTTGCTTGTCATACATGTACATGCGCATGTAAGTGCAGAAACTTCCTAACAGTGGCCTGATAACTATGTACGCATCTAAACTGCATCGGTTTGCACAGGAAATCCTGTTCCAAAAGTTGGTACAGGTGCATGCAAAATGTATTATGGGGGCCACGAAGTGAGGAACTGTTACCTACAGGTGTGGGAACGCTTTTGTTAACTCAGAATTTGATAATCCAAGTGGAAACATTTCATTTTGACCACCGAGATTGATATTACATGCCTACATGTCTATAAGACCACAAGGAGAAGCTACACAGGTGAAGCAGAACCACACCTGTGCACTGGCCTTCCCACACACCCTCCACTCATGCTCCTTTAACTTTGACCAACAAGATTGTCACAATGAAGGTGTGCCTCAAATTGAGTACAGTATGTGTGTGGCATGCATGTGAGAGAGGTAGCACCTCAGTGATGTCTTCTGATTTTCTGAACAAGACTAGACTAGAAATGGGACCAAGACTACGTCTACATACATGCATCACAGGGCACATAATAGCACAGACATACATGTAGTCTTGTCATTTTGAAAGCTGAAAGGGGACGCAAAAGAAAGCCAAGGACATTCTAATCCATTTTTCTTTACGAGATTAACGCACTGGGACATGAAGGGCAGATCCAGGTTGGATCCAAGACGGAGGGGGGCTTTGCTGGCAAGAGGAGGATTTAACAGGTGTCTGTTATTGTTTTTGTCTCCATTGTCCTATCTTTGGCAGCCCACAGGCATAAGGGTTTTCAATCTCTCAAAACCTTCATCTGCCTCTGGATATTACATGGCTGTCCCAGAAGACGAACTCAATGTCCTTTCTGAAGTAGTAAAAAAGGAGGGTAAAAATCCATAATGCAAATATCAGGTACATTTGCTTTCACTTCTGCAGATGTTGTGGCCCTGCGAGTGTTATTCTTAGATTTGTAATTCATGCCAAGTCTGGTCAATATGATAGTTATCTGATCCCTTGTCTCTGGATGTAAAAATCCATTTTTTTGAGAAATTTGTTTTTCTGACAAGACAGGGACAAATCAATTCCTTACTTCCTTAACTACATGTAGGTGTCTATTTTCCAATCCAATATGAACATGTTTTCAGAAGGGTGAGCGAAAAGTTTATCAGCAAGTTGAAAAGTGACACACAGGGGGTTTTTTTGGACAAGAGTGGACAGACACAGAGGTGCTAAATTAGTTGGCACAGTCCAAAAAGCCGGGCCCTGGGAAGAGTGCAACAGTACAAGTATTGCTAAATGTACATGTGCGCATGCACTTCATTTGTAGTCGTTTGGAACGTGTTTGGAACTCCCTAAAAAACCAAAACATATTCAATAGTACTGAAAAGGGAAAAAGAAATGATAAAAGCTTTTTTTATACACGTTGTTTTGATGTTACATTAAGGGGTATAGATATAAGATGTTCATCTGTATCACAGTGCTCCCCTGTGTCATTTGGTGACCCGGGCTCCGGTTGAATCTCCATGACAAGGCAATTTTTTGATTGAAGTCTTTCCCCACCCCTCAGTCCTGGACACACATTTATGCCACAGCATCACTGCATCGGTATTGTATTTCTGTGACCTTTCCTTTCATCTTAACACTGGTGTACAGATTTGCTCTGCTGGACCAACCAATGCAGAGGCCCCGTGCGTGCGTCTCTGATACTCTATCCCAAGATGGATCAATATGCTCCGGGGGCTCTGAACCAGCTGTCACCAGATATCCACAATCTCCCCCAGTCAAACAGCCCCTAATACAGCAAGCTCTGCAGGTAAGCCCACCTTAATCTCATGGATACGTCTGATCCATTTGCCTCCATCAAAACAGCAAGTAAAAGTTGTCATGTGCTCCTAAAAGGATTGGTGGTGCATTCAGGCTCAACTAAGGGCCTAGCCTAAATGATTTTTAGCTGCAGCTGCCAGTACACAAACATGTATGTGCACTGGTGCCGTATTGGTCACACAGCTTCAATCCCCCCGTATTTCCACGGTCGGATTCAAGGCACTGTAATCTATGGAGTACTTTCTACATACATGTACTTTGCACAGTACGGAAAGGTATAATGTACTATACATTAGGTTGAATATTTACAATGAACAGCTTCAGTGGAAGCACCATAAGGCATGCAATTCTATAATGTCTGATCAGCATGATTGGATATTTAAAACTCAAATTAATGTCTAATTATCATTACTGGATATTTAAAATCAAATTACCATGTGTTTATCACAACTGGATATTTACAAATCAAATTGTAGTGAGCATCTAGTCACTTTTTTTAAGGTTTCAGGAGTTTTGAACAGTCTCAGGCCATGTCCGAAATGGGCTTTCAGAGCTACAGCTAGGTCTATTGTCTGCATGTCTCCACGCATTTAGAATGGAGCGAAGACCTAGATCTAGCTCTACACAAGAGATTCGGATGCAGCCTCAGATAAGATTTTGCATAACTGCTTGGACTTGCATTTGAATGTTTTGAACATTAATGCCTGCAGGCCGGAATCAGCCCAAAATTTGTTTGCACACTTCAACACACAGTGCACAAAACAACAGCAAACAATGACAGAGAGACCTTTTTGTTCTAATGACAATATCTACTTTTTTTCAGTACATTAACACACTTACAAAAGCGTCCAAAGACTATTTGACAAATCCTTCTGCCTCTATTCACAACCAAATGGAGCAAGATTGTACACCTTCATATAACATGGCTGTTCTCAAAGTTAAATTTTGTTTGTTGGTTATTTGACAAATTGTTCACCTGTGGCAGAATGATCGGGAACTGTAACATGAGTGGCACCAATGCTGAATTGCCCAGAATGGCTTCCAGGATTAATTGGAAACGGCATTTCAGCTGGCTAATGCAGCTTGCTGAAATTAAAGTACACATTTATATGCACAAAGGTTTTCAGCAAGTGTACATGTAAGTCAAGCCCCAAGTATATGCTAATCCTCTTGGGAATCCTACCTTTCCAGTTCATCTTCTTCTCCACTTGCTCTACTACAAGAGTCTGGTTGCGCGGAATCGGACACTACGGCCATGGTCACTTAATGCGATGTGTCCTTTCTCCTGGAAGGCTGGAGTGGTCTTCAGAATGCGAATCCAAGGATCTGTCAAGGTAAAAGGGAGGGGGGGTTTGAGCAGAGATGTGGGAGTGAGGTTTGTTTGTTACCAAGCGTCGCACTTTATTATCCATGGTGTGGATACTGCATGGCTTTCCAGCTTGCTTTTGTACACATTGCGACAGAAAGTTAATAACTTTCCGCCTAAAGCTGTTGGGCATTGCTAAGTGTTAACTGAGACGAGATCAGCTACATGTACACAAGCATCCAGCAACTTGACACGCACATACAGGCGAGTTCAACGGACAAATTAGCTGAGAGGGGGTAGGACCTCGATCTCACTTCATCCTCCAGCTACAAGTACATGTACGTGGACATGGACACGTGCTTATGTCACTACCATGAGTCCACAACTGCATTCGAGTTGAAAGATGTAAGGGACTTATTACCCGAATTGCTTTCAGCCAAATATTAACAAGTGCTGACTCTGATGTGGATACTGAATAGGTTCACACACTGAATGCTGCAAGGGTGTTGAAAGAGCGTTCAGCACAACCAGCGAGGGAGGTAAAAGGAAGGATTAAGCAGGTGATTGAAACTTTGATTTATATCATTGCACATTATGTACATACATGTATATGTACAGGCAAATCAATTTTTTTTAAATGAGAAGATTCTAGAACATACAAAAATTATCCAAACAATCAAATGAATGAAGCATGAATAGATACAATCATAGTGATCTCATTTTAAAACAATGATGACCGACATGCAGGAGGCGACAGTCCTTCTTTGAAACTTGACGCATGGTTGTTCCGGGGTAGTGAAAATTACAATTTCCAAAATACACAGCTCTCACAATCCCACAAAGTGGAAGTTTCTCACCTACTGACAATAAGGACCAGGAAATTTAAAGCAACACTTGCTTTAATGTTACACCGAAAGTCTCTGAATGAATGTACACATAAGACAACTAGAGTTGAAAACTCAAATGATTCAAATGCGTAAATTACGGAACATATTAAATCATTTTAGCCCCACAATACATGTACATGTCTGTCCATGTACTTTGGTCAGATAGAGAGAATTTTCACTCCCTGGACAAAAGAAAGTGTACATATGTATACACATATCTGACCGTGGCTTTTCCATTGCACTTTTAACATTAATTAGCAAGAAAAATTTTGTAGCACAGCACAAATAATAGGTTGGTTTCCATTTGACAGTTCAGCAAATACCTGGATCTCCTTTCCACAGCATTCCTTCCCCCCTCCCACATGCATCTGTACATGTCTCCAATCGTACTTAAGGATCTGTATAAAACCATGAATATCAGAGTGCTTATTGGTGTGTCTGACAGCATGGCTTAGCACATGAAAACATAGTGTACTAGCCTTAGGATAGCACTAAATGTAAATGAAGTACATGGAAGCAACATCCAAACCTGAAATTAGATCACTGAGCTATAAGACATTTTGTAGCTCCAGATCAGATTAACAGTCCCATGGGCTGGTATCCAAGTTGCATACATGAATTTGCCTTTCAGTAGCTCAATGTATTTTGCAACAACAAGTACAGGTACATTGTAGGCGCCAATAAGCCTTCTCCGTGGCTGGTTAGTGTACACAGGTTGGCATGATTTCAGCCAAGATGCCATGATGTCTATCTATAACATGTAGGCGTCAAAATTTGGCGGAATCAACCCTATTTTATGGCAGGGAAGGGGGGGTTCATTCCACAAAACTGTCTTTTGACAAAAGTGCCATATTTCCCTCAGGCGTTTCCTTGAGCGAATCTACAGACACCAAAAGCTCTTACACTTGAATCTAAATCTGGACAAACTTTTACTCACAAGTTTGTGGAAAAGATAGTGAAATGGAGGATTCAAGACTGTGCTATCAGTAACTAGTGTTACAAGTAGAGAGAGGTGGTGCACAAGTTTTGTCATCCTCACCTGTGTCAGGGGAATGATAGTAGATTTAAACCTCTAGAATATGGCAGGATTTTGTGGGAGGGAGGGGATAATTTTCTGGGTGCCCTCTTATCAAAATTTGCTGTTGATGACATTTAAAATAAACTACTGTTGGCTTCATCTATACTCTGCACTAACAGAGTCTATGCACAGGCCTACCGTATATTGCTCGTCAGTGATGGATAAAAATGAAGCGCTCACTTTGTTGTTTGGAGAGGGATTGTCCCAAACACTTGTCACATCTTTTAATTCTGTGTGACATGCTTACAAGTGACTTACAGTTACTTCTATTAATTACAGTAATGCTTGTTGTTGCATATTAGCCTATGTTAGGCATATTGGTCGGTCATCATGTCAGATGATACATGTATCTCTTCAGGCAAGCATGAAATTAGTTATATAAAGTGCATGCAAATGGGTCATCATCATCTCTGCTAAGTGCCTTAGGAGCACTTATAGACAAATCCGACCACCGAAATTAGAAGCCATTACTACGGGGCAATCCTGTTGGCACGCAGGCGGGGTGCCTGCGTGTGAAATTCCTCCGTGACCAATTGGCAGTAGTCCATTGCCGAAGTGCGCATGCATGCGTGCTCAGGTTGAGACAGCTACGTGAGTATAAATGGCCCCTTGGAATGGCATGTTGTCGGATTTGTCTATAGCATCCAAATTATCGTACTGATTACTGGTGCCGGTACATTCCCTGCCACAAGAGTGCAAACAAGTGAATACATGTACTTTAAAGGTACAGTCCATCATAAAGAGTTTACTGAGCTGAAACTTCATCAAGTTCGGTCTTGGGCACACTTCTTTAGATTTGACTCATTTTTTTTGCCTCAAATATAATACACACACATGACAAATAATAGACTGTACCTTGACTGAGGGCAGAACACAGGCAGAAAAAGGGATCTTTCCCCGGGGGGAAAAATTCTTAACATGGACATTACTAATTTTTCCCTAGAGAGACATACATATATCAGCCATCAGAAAGTGATGTATTCCCTAAAAATCAAATTTGGCAGAAAAACACTTAAGCATTTCCTGACAAAACACTATTCTTTTCATACGATTCTCATAAGGCTTGTGCACAGGGTGTCAAGAGATGTCCAGGGCCTAATTTCATTGTGCTGTTTGACAGTAACAGCAGAAAAGTGTGGCCTACTTTAGCAGAATGGTTGTGGGCACATAGAGATTTCCATTGTTTTGTCACTACATTAAGCAGATTTTTCCTTCAAGGTAATACTAAATGTGCGCTGTGCTGTGCTTACTACTTATGGTCTTAAAGAGCACCTCTGCGGAAAATATATTTTCTCTGATTTTATCTGTTCAAATAAATATGCAAGCATCCAAATTGTGTCATGTGTCTTTAGAGCTCAACTATAACAAGCTAAAAAGGGCTTTTTTCTGTTCATGCCAAGATGCGAATTCTGAATGTAGATTGCATCATTCGGAGAAAACGAGGGGAACCCTCGCCCTGTGTTCGTAGTGCAACTAGTGGATTAACCCTTGTGCATGCCAAACAATTGTGGCTAAGCAATGGCTATCTAATAAACCTTTTCAACGTTTGCAATGCATTATGGGTGTGGATGACAAACAAGCAATGCATTTTATGCACAACCCTATGGGGGAAGCGAACCAGTCAAAAATCAAGTTTACAGTTTTCTACTAAAATATCTTTTATGTATCTGCTCATCAACTCACAGATGCATGCATATTAAATTATTATCTAATTATACATGTACAAGAAACATTTTCGAATACCTTTTCATATATTTGTAAGAACAAATCATCCTTAATTGCCTCTTTTAAGGGCACAAGTCACTCTACTGGCTGAAAATGAACGTGACTGGTCAAAGCAGGATGAATGAGCTGCAAGTCATAATTTTGATTGGACAATACAAGAGCATTAATATTCACAAATTAGTCAAAGCACGGTCCGTGACAAAAAAGCGGTGGTGTTGGAAGGAATTCTCCGAATTTTCCTTCTTTGTCAAGCTTTAAACTTCGAAGATTGTGAATATCTTCGTCCCAATTTAATAATGCAACACTTTATCTGAAGGGGATGGCTTGAATTGAAGTATGAAATAAAATGGAAACAGATTAATGTTTTGCAGGTACACTTCTCCCATAGGTTGTGCATAAAACGCATTGCATACATGCATGTATGTCATCCAAACCCACAATGCATTCAATATTTTCCTCATTTATTTGAGTTTTTAGGACATTTTATGACTTTTTGATGGCTCATAAACCACTGCAAGGGAATATTAATTATATCCGCATATGGAAATCTAATTTTAGGCAAAATATTAAAGATTAACCACTCTGAAAAATTCTTACCCTGAGCCATGGCCTGAGCGAACCGGTGGGTGATTGTTTACATGAGGATTTTTAATGTAGCGCCCTCAATATTCACTGTAGGTACATGTAACCTGTATTTTGATGTCGCCGTTAGAGGGGGATAGTATGTTTGTGACATGTTGACGGCTAGGCTTTGATGTGGTTCCAACATCCCGAAGTCTTTTCGCATGTGTTAACTTCTTAATCTTTTAATCAAACTATTAACAGTAATAGCAGTTTGATTAAGCTAAAATACATGAATGCATAGTAAGTGAACCTTTATTTAATTAATAATTAGTATTGATTGAAATAATTTGGAAATGTATAAAGTATTACCATTCTCATCAAGACTTAAAGGAAATAATTACCTCCCCATCAAATCATACCGTTCCCCCCCCCGCGCGTTGGGGGGAACCCTTCGCACGCAGTACTGAAGAACAATCATCCTTAAAAAAAACCCAACAATCCTGAAAAACAATCGAAACCCCGTGATACTGAGAAACATCAATTAAATGCACGTTAGAGTCCGGGTACAGACAGAACAGCATTGTACTAACTGGCTAGTGATATAACGTATAGTGTCATTTAACCCGATAAAACAATGTGCAGACTTAATTAAAGTCAAAAAAAGACTCTACAATTTGACAAGCTTAGCTTCGCGTCATCAGTAACGTGGAAAGAGTACGTCACACACCTTTAAAAAATTGTCATCTGTTTAGCAATGAGCGTAATGGATCTCCCTCAAGTCGCGTCCAATCTATAGGGGATGCGACAGTAAAATTCCTTCCCAGGATGGAAATCTAATCCGAAACATTTACTCAGACTGACCCATAATGAGTTTTGCTCTGTCATTTTCCAGGTCAAAAAGAACACGTTCTCCACTCTTCAGGTCAAAAGGAACATTTCCCACACCATTTCGGCGAATTAAGTGTAGGTTTTGGCCGTGAAAACGAAAAGGGCACAGTAAATTCAGATCGAGCAGTTTTTAAAGTGTCCTATAGTCCTACTCAAATAAACGGACAGAATTATTACTTGATTTGTGACCTTCAAGCCTTCTAGTTTGATGATCTGAACAGATAAGACGAACCTATATAATCCCACCAGTGTGTACTGTTTGTTTAATCGTGCGATGAAAACTGAGTCATGCTTAGATAGCAACAACAGAAACTCTACCTTTTTATAATGCATGTTTATTACAGAGGATCACGGGGACGAGGTGGAACGAATTTCCCTTCCCCAGTTCCGCTTCGCATGCTGTTTTTAATACGTTTTCCATGTCACGCAGATGGCATGTGCAATCTTGCCTTTTTTTTTGTTTTATAAACGGGCACTTTTTGAGCCCCTTCACCTTGAAGCTTGATTGGCCCTACAGTTTATTCGTACGCTGCTGAAAATCTGTAGATATTTTTCGTGGAAATAAATTTGGAATAAGACAGAAGGACTTACCATTGTATATAGGACTCTGTTTTTTGCTTGTTCAAAAATATGATTTTAGTTTCATTATGCACAGTGCAAAAAGACTGATGCATTTTGTAAATTCGTTTATACTGTACGAACTGTGAGAAAGATGCACCGATATCTTTTACTATTAAAGTAACTTGGCACGGGGTGATTTTCTCGTGTGCTGTCTCAGTAGTTTATCTTCTTACGGGTGCAAGTCTCAAGAAATACAGATGTATGAACTGAAAGTGGTTTTTGGTTTCTTTTCATAGCACTTCTGGATAGGTACGTGAAGCGGCAGCTGTGATTTGAAGCAAATCTTAATCTTGTGATTTATTATTTTTTAGTTGATCAGAAATATTGTCACTGTCATAGTAGAGCAGATATTTCTGTATTCTTTAACTCCAGTATAACTTTTGTTTATGTTTGATATGATCTGTTTGTAGACAGATTTTGCATGATTCATTCACGTCTTAACACTGTGATAAAGGATCCGTCTGGAAGTGATAAAGTCTTAATGTTCAATGTTTGCTTGCGAAGCGTGAGCCAGCAAAAACACCTACATGTGGTTATTTGGGGGGGGAGACAGGTGGCAAGAGTATTATTTGGTCGCTATTATTTCTGTTAAAATGCCTGTAAATTGCCCCGATTTCTGTATGTTCCAACCCTTAATATAAACGGCATTCGTCTTGTTTACCGTGCTCACTATTTTGTAAAGCCACTTCAACTTTAATTGCGTCTTTAACCGGTTTGTTATGAATACATTTGTAAAGTATAATTATGTGAAATATTTTCATTAGATTTTGTATCCACAAAGAATAAATGCCAAACTTCACCGGATTAAAAATGTCGTAAACAGTATCAATATCCCCTGAATAAGTTTCCAGTTTAACCCAAGCAAGATCGCAAATTCAGTTATTACCCCTCGAAGAGTAAACACAAAAACTGCATGCATGATGGTCATGGTATATTATTAGCAGTGTCAACAAAACCCAACCAGCCGAAGATAACCCCCCCCCCGCCAACTCCGGTAGGCCCGTGTAACGACCCCCTCTGTTGTGTGTCGCCATGGAGCGGGCTTTGTCCCGCGTCCATTCATCTACCGGAATCGCACAATGGAAGTCGCTCAGCATTCACCCCCCAGATTACCACTATCCGGCATGCCGTGGATTTGTTTAGCTCGGTGTCGCTGATATCGAGATACTAATTTAATTGATTTTTCCTTCTTCGTTGTTTACGCCAGGACACAGCTTCATTTTTTTCCCAGTGATGTCTGTGCTGTTATTCGGGCATCATAGTGGACTCGGACAAAACGGGCTTAATCGATTCTGTATCGGTGAGTCTCACTCGGAACCTGTCCGGGACCAACTACCATTCAGGTGATTGGAGCGCTAGTATGCTTGTGATCCAAAAAGGCAGAAATAGCAGTCAATATCGACCAGTGTCGTTCGCCTGACTCTTCGACGGCTGTTAGAAGAAATCAACCGTAACGTGTATTGGTGAGCATTGCTGTCACGGTGTTATGCGTTTGGAATGACGAGTTTTGTTTACTTTTCTTGGCCTGCGTATACGTGTAGCGGCGCCATGGTCACACACTGTTACAAAATTACCAGCAGATATTTTGTCTGCCTTGGAGAGACAGTTTGATCTGATTTATCACAAGACTTGAAATATCACTCTGGATTTCGTCCCCACCATTCTCTACAAGCCCACCTGGGGATTACAACTCCATTAATTAATCAACTGCAGATAATTGGCTCAAGAACATGGATACATACGTTCGATGCACAGTTTATCAAAACCATGGAGATGAACTTTGATGTTACATCCCCATTGTGATACCGTACGGATAATACCACGTTCTCAAGTAACGGCTGAGTGGTTAATACTGTGTAAAGTGGACTCTATAACCAGTGTCGATGGCCACTTACAATCAAGAGGATGGCTGACTTGGAAAATTTGCCGAAATGGCGACAAGGGATTGGAATATTTCAAAGTGTGTGAAAATGCATTTGTGACTGGCGTATCCCAACACAAAAGTCATTATTTAGACATAGTACGCGATAAAACGCTTAATGGTGGTCCTATTCGAAACTGAATTTCCATACAATGAAGGACACTGCTGGTCTGCTAAAAGGCAGGTGTTACTGTAAAAATATAGACCATGGTGTAAAGGAAGGTTGCACTTAATCGTCAGAGCAGCAATGGGTTCCCGCGGCGAGAGGAAACAGCCGGGCGCGCTGGTAGGCGAGAAGTCCCAGACGGTCTTCTCCGCCAACTGGAAGCTGGACGCCATGCTGCTCAAGAACCTCCAGATGCTGGACGTGTCCAAACACCGGGTGAGCCATCGCATCTCCATGGATCAGAGGGTGGTCAACAAGAGATTCCAGACCAAGCTGTACCGGTCCAAGATTACCCACGCCCGAATGACGAACAACCGGGAGCTGCTGAGGGAACTCTTGCACCGGGACAACTACACCTTCAACACCAGCGTCGGCGGCCAGGACGAGAAGTACACCGTCAAAGTCAGCCCCACGCAGAAAATCCCTGGCCAGGAAGACAGCGTGGCTCGTGAAACTCTCAACGACGGGAACGGCAAGGGGGTGAGGCCGGCCGCAACTCCTGTCGTCGTTGTGGAATCGAACGACGATGGGAAACAGGATACGATGGTTCCTCGTGATGTGCAGGACGTTGGTTCTGATCAGGGAAAAGATGAAAAACCGTCTAGTGTGGCCTCACTTACTCAGCAGACTGTCAGGCGACTGTCCAATGCTGCTGGTATGCTTCCCAAGCAGAACTCACCGGTAACGTTGCAAGAAGATGCGGTGCCGGCCTCAAAGGAAACATTGTCGGAGGAGCAGATGGCAGACACTGAACCTTCACACAGGACTCAACGAGGATTGCTTACTGATGATAAGAGAAAACCGAGACCCAACACGGCAATGCCCGATTTAATGAAAACAACGCGTACCGGTACTGCAAAAACGAAGAGGCCCAAGACTGCTCTGGCGAGACAGGGCAGCGGACTGCTCACGGCTCCGTCACAAGACGGGAAAACTTCATCATCTCCAACACGGCAACCTTCCACCTCACAGGGACCCACCACGGCAACTCAAAGACCCACCTCGGGAGCACCGAGACCGCGAAGCCATTCTTGCAGGCAGCAGAAACACACCATGCCCAGCATCTTCGGGGAGGACAAGCGACCCACGCTGCTAGACATCAACAGGGATCGCTTGGCCAGGTCCAACTTCCCAGACCGAGTCCGGAATTTCGCGGGATCGCTCCGGGGGCTGCAGACCGACCCTGACCAGACCGTGGATTATTACACCCACCGGCTCCTGGAGAACCTCCGCGGAGCCAGCCGGAGAGGCCCCCGGGAATTCATTGAGAGTGATGCAGAGAGAAGGGACGCCCAGCGGATGGTCGGGAACCTGAATGCACGCAACATGACATTCGGTAACGTCAAGAAGATCGGGCAGATGAACCATCAAGACCGGCCAGCTGATGGCTCGCCAGTGAGGGTTCGATTGAGAGCATGGGGATCTGATGACGATGACAACGACAACCAAGACAATGGAAACACGTGAAGCTGTCGTAACGGGGATTAAAAATAATATTCGATATTGCAAATGGAGTGCCGCAGTCTACAGGCACAGAAACAAAGGGACAGAGTAAGACACTTCAATAAAAAAGTAGCCCAGATGATACATGTACATGTGCATAGCTTTGTGTAGATCCTATTGAAATCGGAGGATTAGGGACTCTTATGCCTATCCCTAACACTCCCAAATCCTCCGATCTAAATATGATTTTTACATATACCCTTGGGGTTAGGGTTAATTCTTCTCATAAGACCCGCCAACGCATAGCCGCTCAAAATGGCGAAGACTTTACGGGTGTCTTACTTTTCGTCTTTAGCGATTCATGACATTTATATTCTGGCCAGTTCTTCATGCACGCTATACCTTAGGGAATATCCCGGTAATTCTAAATAAATATTACTTTTGAGAATCTAAATACAAAGATTACCGAGCAGACTTGTGCCGCTTCCACATGTTGTAAACAGGCAAAAATGAACTATGGCGTCTGTTTTCCAGACGTAGAGTTCAACAAGCTACAAGACGGCAAAGGCTCCTGTTTCGTGACATCACAATCAATATCATTTTAGGGCGATTGGTAACCTCATGGACCAAAATGTGTTACGCATGCACGCTCTCGCATTCGTTTCAAAATCTGTATTCAAAATACAAGGCAGACACTGAAAAAATCACCTTTTATCCCAAACTCTTAGATCTTAAACAGGCATAAAAAATGGAGGCAATCGGCAAATATTGAAACTGAAGCTTTTATGCAAGACCACCTTTCACTCCACTTCGCTCATTTAAGAGCCGTGCAATGCAGAAATAACAGTTTTTACCGAAGGCAACGCAACTCGTGTTATAACAGCGTTGTCCAGTGGTGGTAAGGTTTGATCGTTGTAGATGTAACTCTGATTTGTTTTGTTTTGTTTTGTTTTTTTTTTCTCGACTCGTGCTGGTTATATTGCCCTCATTTACTGATTACGTACGCCTCCATTTTCGAGTCTTGTTTTTAAAGTCGTTAAATTTCTAAGTAGACAACCGCGACTTTTTGAAGTCAAAAGGTTTGATGAACGGGTAAATTATGCCAGAACTATTTTGAGTTACTTTTACAAACTTGGGAGAGACGCTAGAGAAGTTAAAATCCTCCCCTAAGCTGAACCACACGAGATGTTCCCTTCCTCCAATAAACTGATTCGAAATCCCCCTCATAACTCACAAAATGATCCTCTTTCAAAGGAAACCGTTGACGGTTTGAAATCCGGGATTAGTGTAATCTCCTGATCAGACTACTCTGATGGAATAGGATTTGGTAAGAGTCCAGGTTATTCATATGTATACACGTGCCCTTCGTAAAGTTGCATTATCAGATGAATAACAACAGAAGATGAATGAACAGGGTACTACAGAACTTCTTGGCCTAAAATCGACGTGTTTTTCCCAGTGAGAACACGGGCAATGTTTATGCAATTGGCATTAATTCTGTACCAAGTCTCTCTAATATTGGCGCATTAACACTGCTGCAGCGTTATGCTTGGTTTTTGTTTTAAGTGATCGCCGACAGTCGCAATGACATTTTGATCGCTGAGAAAACAAGTTTGGAACAAAGTAAAGGCCGATTCGTAAATAGGCAAAAGCGAAAGTGAAGCGAAGTTGACATTTGCAGCGAAATCCGTCCTCAAGCTGAAATGCGTTTAACTTTTGGGAATTTATAACACGATAATCTGTATAAAACGGCCTCAAAAAACGTACGTAATAATTCTGCCAGTGAAATTTATAGAAAATAGACATCGCATATTGAGAACTATTATAGTTTTGTTCTCATTACAGGTAAAGCGTATCTGTCGAGGTGGCTTAAGCTGGCTTTTACTCGTAATGATTAATTTACAAAAGCAGTGAGAAAACGTGCCATTCAGTGATTTGAAACATTTTCGACATGGGCAATTATACATCAGATAAAAGGCTTTCTGAGGGATGATTGGTCGATGTAATAGGTAACAGTGGAGCCAAAAGGCCCCTCTCGGTACACGAATTTAGGTTCGCCAGTTGCTAAGATTTAATGTGAAACTTTGATTTAAAATGGGAGGCAAGTTTTATACATGTAGTCTATGAATACCGGTAGCTTGTGAGTCTAAGCAACAATATCAACAACTCAAATCCATATTACTTTGCTTAAAAGCATTTCAGTGTAGAGTGCATGATGTTTATGAGTTTTGACCTACCAATGCGAACGGTTGTTTGTGACCGTGTTGCCACATTACTGTTGTCGTGATTTAGTATAGTTATTTTCCAAAGTTACCGCTCAGCACTGTTCTGCGTTGTTTTGATGTGTCTTTTGTAGTCAGTGTGTTTAGCACTTGAACGCACTGATTGATCATCTAGCTCTTGTTGCGTCGACATTTTGACATGATAATAACAGATTTTGGTTAATTAAAATTTGTTTGCCAATTATTTTATTGGGACTGAGGTTAAACGGTCCCGAAAAACACTGTCGTTGTACATACAGTCTTTCAAAAAGACAAGATTGATGTCGCACAGCGTCATCCGCAAAGCTCAGTGTGTCCATTCCACTGTGCACTTCACAACTAACAAGCGCGTGTTTGTTTGTTTTTTGGTGTTTTTTTTGCGTTTTGTTTTGTTGTTGTTGGTTTTTTTTCGTTTTCTGTCGCTCTTCATACAAGTCCACAGCATCCGTCTGATCATTGCCAAAGTGTGAACCAATTCCTAAGAATCAAGAGTAAATGTTCCTTCGCATTTGGGGAATATTTTTGATATGATTGTGCGTTACAGTTGCAGAGAAAGGACCATTAAGCTTTCTGTATGCAGAATAGATTTATATTATTTGTTTAATTTGTCTTACGCAATCATATTGATTGCGATGTCTTAAGCTTTGTTTCGAAATCTTATAGCTCATCTGTTTATCCTGTAGGCCTACTCTCTTATTTTGCAATTTGATGCGAGTGTGCTCAGAATAAATGCAAAGTACAATGTACAATTTTGTTAATGCATAAATAGTCGTGCATGCGAGACACGTTATTGGGAAACTTTTTGACAAGGAAGGGGGATAAATATTCAGTGCGACTGGAGACAAGTAGAGAAGAAAGTCAAAGGCCAGTGAAAATTTTAGGGGCCTCCGAAAAATTGAAGGCCTACCACAGAGTACTGTAGCCAGGCTGGGGGGGGGGGAGTTCCTAAGGCCGTTGCCCCCCCATGCCCCTGTGTTACATAAGCATACTTTTCTCAAATAAGGGGACGCGGGAAAGAGTTCCCCCAGGGCAGTTGTCCCCCCCCCCTTGTTTCGCCTCTGCACAGCAAATGTATTAAGTTTTTACCAGCTTTGTATTTATCTTTGAATTTTCGATTTCGGGGAAAAACCTCAACTAGCTAATACAATTCAGCCTTAGCATCAACACGGAACACGAATTTCCTGCGCCTTTTAACACTACGAAATATTTACTGGTGCTGATGTATTCAGCGGGCAGAGTCTGTGTATGACACTAGCGCCTATGTGGCCGACGGTAAAGCTACAAAACCGTCAGTGCAAAACTAAAAGCAGTTTTATGCAATGAAAGTCCAGACTTACTCTTTACATTTCAGTTGCTGCAACTCTGTCTCCCTTCGTTGTGAGTTCCGTCGAGGAACAGATAGAAATCTCCCAGTCTCCCATATAACGTTAGCCCTTTCACGCCGGGCCTCCACACGGTTTAATAATTGAACACAAATGAAATCACTCTATCGCTTGTCTCAGTCGTCGAGAAAGTAAAGCCTGTTCTGGCAAGCATGAAGGTTTGCAATAGCAATCAGAATTTATTAGATGTATAGCTAATAAGCCTGAATGTAATTGTCTCCTAATTGAAAAAAATGTCGTTAAGGAAACATTACCAGCAAGCGTCTTTAATTAGGCTTTTCTTTACCGGAATAAAACAGTGGCATATGTTCACCGCGGGCTCACCTAATGCAAACTAACGCTCGATAGTATGGAATTCCATTGCTGCCATTTTACGCGGCGCTTGTGGGGCATTTTGGCCTGGATCTCCCCACATTTCCGCCGTCGACGGCGCATTGTCGCGTCGTGCCGTTGCATAGTTTTGTACACAGAGTATAGGCCCGTCGCGTAGTCGCGTCGTGCCGTCGCATTGTTGATGCGACGGCACGACGCGACATGCGACGGGCCTATACTTTGTGTCTAAGAAGATGCAAGGACATCTGAAAAACGGATTTCGCGAATCACTGTGAATTTCGTACCTCCCTCGATCTGGGAGAAATCGGTCGTTGTCTGCAGCACCTCAAGTGTTTTCATTTTCCGATATAATAACATATGTATTGGTCTGTAACCCTTCGAAACAGAATACGTCTATGCCCCGCCAGCCTTGAGAGTTCTTTGCGTTGAGCATTATGGGATCTAGTATTATTCATATTTTTATTGAGGGATGATTACTTTCGTGGAGACTTAAAAGTTGTTCAGATGGTCAGAAAAATGTAGGAATCTCTACATGTGGTAAGCTGCAATAGGCTCCGTATTAAAAGCACGTCCCTTCGGCTACAACTTTCCCTGCGCTCCTAAACGGTGATAAGTTTCTTTGCAAAAGGACTCACCTTCCCCTGTTAGATCTATAGGCACTTCAGCTCTTAAAAGGATCTTGTTTGTCTTTCACCACAGAGAAAAATCAAACATTTCAATTACTCCACAAACGAAAGAGCGGGACTGTCTCTCCGTGTGGCGCCTTTGCCCTCAGCAGTTTACTTTTAAGGGCTCCCAGCGTTCAAAGAAACTATCTTAGCAAACGGTGCGACCATAGCACTGTGACAGAGGAGCAAATAAAAATGTACCGTGTTTTGTGGCATACATTCTGTTTGCTTGACGTGGCTGCTAATTGAACGTCTAAATATAGCTGTAGTGTAAACGTCGGAACAATGCTTTGGGGGAAAACGCTTAGTGGTGTGATTCTATAGGAGAAATTTGAACAGCTCCACAGCAAGCGTAAAGCATTTCGAATTAATAGAAATAATGCCCAGTCTAGTCACTGGAGGATGGAGAGGAGAGGAACGCGATGGGGGTCATATGTCCCCCTGCAAAGTGCTTTTTAATTTTGCTGTTTTGTTTTGTTGTTGAAATTAGAGATAGGCAATTTGGGGAACTACTTCTTACACTGTGTGTATAACATCCCAATATCTACCCCACCCCTCAAAGGGGCAATAAAATGTGACAAAGAAAAATGCCATATTTTTGGTTCCCCGTAACATGTTGTCTCCCCGAATGTTTGGTTGGCCCCCCCCCCGTGCCCGGAGTGTCGACCTTGACTTCTCTCAACAAAAAGGAAAGAACTAAATAAATAAATAAAATAAATAACAACAGCAGAGCTTTTAGTAAAAAACAGTAAGTTTCGTGTGCACGCGCTACTACCGCTGCAACATGTAGTGAGGAGACTGATAATTATGTCACGACGCGGGAGGGGGTGATTGATGGGACGCAGAGGAAGTTGCGCGTTTTGCCTAGTTACATAAGAGACGCCTTGCACCAGTACACTGTTTTCAATGTGTAAGAATGGCGCAAAGGAACCTCTCCATTCCACAGATGGTGGTGGCTATGAAAAAGTTTGTCCCGAATCACAAGGTACTGCAACAGTGTCTTTAGTCAGGAGAATTTAAATCTAGATATTCACGTGAATTGAAAGAACTCAGTGTGCCTGATTTTATTCAAATTTAACTCGCAAAAGGTTTATTGATTTAGGTTATGTGGTAATGTTATAATGCGGGATAAAAACAAGCAAGTTGGGCATGGGGGGGGGGCTTCGCGTCCGGACCGATCTTGCTCATGGTCCTACTCAAAATACTAAAGCGCCACCCCGGCCCCAGAAAAAAATCTCTGAAACTACTACTTCTTGAGGGCGCACTTTGTCATCACCGTAGCTGGCTAGCCAGCTAATACAGTCTACACAACGAGCCGATCGCGAGGAGGGCAGTTGTTGATGCATGCACCGGTATTTCAGTACACATGTATTCGACTTCTTTTTGATGGGAGGAAAACAGCACAATGACTAAAACAGTTTTTTAATATCTAAGGTGAGAATCGGAAATAACTTGATTTATTTTGAAAAACAGCAATGCCCAAATGCGCTCAATGAAGGTGTCGAGGAATTATGATTGTCGGCATCCAGACATCACTTGTATGACTTGACAGCCTATGCGCAAACTAGAGACTGGTCTGAAAAATTCTGTTTTCCAGGTAAATGCTTCAATTTCTCCCTGTTTAATTTGACCTTAGGACATGTCATGGGAAGATTTCCATATACGGAAGCCAGTAATCATTCCCTATAGTAACCTCTTAACTGTCAGAAAGCAAAAACATTTCAAGAAAAGTTCAATTTAGGAGGGAAAAAACAAGTCGTTTATTTGGAAAACACCTAGAATTTTTCAGACTAGTCTCATTGGGTTTGTGCACATGGTGTGAAGCGGCGACCACTTATGGAACTCTTTCCCATGTTATCACTTTCTGATGGCTAACACTCTTCATTAGGAAAATCAAGTTGTATCATCACGTTCATCACTTGTCATAATGTCCAACCCTGTCCTACACTAACACGCCAACAGTCTGCAATCTGAGTGACCAGGATTCTATGTGGCCTACAAATGCCTTGTGGAAAGACTTCCATGGATGGGTATCTCTAATTTTCCCCTGCAGTGGTTTACCAGCCATCAGAAAGTGTAGCATGCCCTACAGAGTGAAATTTAGCCGGGAAAATATTGATGCATTATTTCGAATTTTCCGGATCAGTCCTGAAGAGTTAGTGCAAGTGACGAGAGTTTCAACTGATGTCCTTGCATGGAACTCTTTCTGGGTATTTTTTTCACCCGTAACACAAGCAGGGTTCATTGTCCCATTGCCCTTCCACATGGTAGCACCCCCCCCCATAGTTCAAAGGGCGGCCCTTTTATCATTTAGACAAGCATTGGTGACAGTAGATCACGTCCAAATGTTAAAAACAAGGGATGAGTAGGGTCCTAGTTACTTATATTAGCCCTTAGAATAATCCCAATGACTGTGCAAAGCACAGCTCTTCAGTGAGATGTCAGGCAAGTCCATGCAGAAGGTAAAGTACCAAACATTTTCAAGAGAGTAAAACAGCAGCCAGTCGTCATTTGACTAATAATACTTTGACTTACCAGCATGTCTAACGTACCCAGAACTATGTACTAAGGACTAAATTCCACCCTCTGCATTTAGGCCTGTTTTTAGAATTAATATTAAAAGGATTAAGGGAGCTGCCTTTACAATCGTGTAGTTTTGGTATTTTATGTACTGGGTGTGTGAAAGTAAGAGTAATATTTGAATTTGATCATAAAGGATTTGTTCAGCTAGCATTGCTCATCTAGCACACCTTCCAAGTTTTTCAGTGCTACTTTTTTTACCAAGTACATGTAGTTTTCACATTTGAATGCTATAAAAAATCTTCTAAGTGATAAAGCCCAAGATTGGATTCTACTTTTAAAAACGTATCTCGATGCCTATCCCTTTATTAGTGCTATTGTTATTAAAATCCCACATTAATGTTTAATGTGTATTTCTGACTAAATTTTCAGGGAGAGCAAAGTATTTGAAGATGGATGCTGGGGAACCTGAAGCCAATGATGAGAGTAACACCTCTACCACCCGTTCTCAGTTGCCTGATCCCAGCGCTTCAGATGAAGCCACACCAATCATAAGCACCTACCACGGTCTAATCAATGATCACACTTATGGGAAACTGTATGTGTGTGACAACTGTGGCATGAGCTTCTCAAAGGAAAACTGCCTGAAGGCACACCAGAAACGGCATATCAAGCCAAAGTCCTTTTTCTGTAGCACCTGTGGTAAAATGTTCAAAAGCCCAGGCAGTCTAGCCAACCACGGCAAAAGCCATGATGCCAGTTACAAACCGAAGCATGTTTGTGATATCTGTGGCATCGGGTTTGAGACGAACCATCGACTGGTAATGCACACGATGGGGATCCATCTCAAGGACCCAGTGACGGCTCCAAAGTACAATTTCAGACCACAGAAAAAGAATAGGCACTCAATAAGAAAGCAGTTCATCCCAAGAGGCCAGTCACATCAGAGGCCATTTGTTTGCGACATCTGCGGCGACATCTTCCCGGAAGATGATGCCCTGAACACCCACCAAGAGTCTGTTCACAGTGAAGAGCAACAGCAGTCCAGCAATTTTTGTGGGGAGGTCTTCCCAAGAGGTAACTCCCCCGAAGCACGACTCAACTTGACTCACACCAAAAGGAAACCATTTTTGTGTCACCTTTGCAGCAAAGACTTCTCGAGTGAGAAGACACTGAGGACGCACCACATGACCCACCGGGAGTTTGCTTGTGATATCTGTGGCTGGCCCTGCCGGGATGCGGATGCCCTGGGCACCCACCGAGCCATCCACACCCAAGAGAAGCCATTCACCTGCAACATTTGTGGCAAGCACTTTTCCCAGGAGAGCACTCTAAAGACTCATCACCTGTGGGTACACAACAACGGCCGACCAGATCAGCCGCTGGACTGCAACATCTGTGGGAAGTCCTTTGCTCACGGTAGCAAGCTCCGAGAACACCTCAGGTTCCACAGGCAAGTCAAGAAATTGGTGTGCGAGACTTGCGGCAAGGCCTTTAGCTACCAAAGCCAAATGAAGATGCACCAGCGGATCCACACCAAGGAGAAGCCATTCCCCTGCGCCATCTGCGGCAAAAGTTTCACACAAGCAGTGACCGTGAAGGATCACTTGCGAACCCATACAAAAGAAAAACCATTCCTCTGTGACATTTGTGGCCGGGCGTACACTCAGAGACACAGTCTGGTCAGTCATAAAAAGATCCATGTGAAAGAAAAACTCTTGCTGACATTTTTAGGAGAGCCATTTGAAATGCAAGATACTGATCAGGAGTCATAGAGAAATTGAATAGTGTACAGAAAATGAACCTGTTGCTGACTGAACACTTGTACGTTGTACTTATTTATCTATCCAATAATTTTTAGACTTTGACAGTCAGTTTGTACTTTAAACAGGGTTTTCCCCCCTCAGAAAAATGCTATCCAAAAAGTAACATGTAATTTCTTCCAAAATAATCATCAGAAATAGTTGTTTTATGTATCAAAACTAAGAATGTCATCTTTTCAAACCTGAAGACTTATTGAAATCTGAAGATACACCGTAGGATGTTTTCGTTCTGTCCAGTGGGATTTACCACAACCATCGAAATGCTATGTTCATGCGATTTAACTCCCTTTTATGTGTGAATTCATTGGAAAGGCTCACGAAATGAAGATACTGAATTGAACAAGGTTTTGTCATATTGTGTTTTATTTTCTATTGCCAAAGAGGATCCTCAATCGGTTATAGCGGTTAATGTTAAAATGTAATCAGCATACTGCAAAATTAAACAACCACTGCCTCCTTGAGTAAGCAAAAGTTTCATCAAGTTTAGAACTAGAAAGAAATTCCCAAGAAGGATAGTACCATTGTTGTGCAAAGATACAGGATTTGAATTCAGTGACTGCATAAACTTGCAAGATAAACTGTGTAAACTTGCATTTAAAAGAACAAAAATGAGTTGTGTTAAGTCATTGTAAATATCTCGGCAACAAACCACGAAATGAATGTTAAGTGTTAGTATAAAACCTGACAAGCTTTTTTTAAAGATACCAAAAGCACTTGTCTCTGATGGTTATTTTGAGAGAAGATAAATGTTGATGTACCCCCGATAGAGAAATGTACCCCAGTACAGCCGAGTCTGTGAAAAACCAACAAAAAAACCCAACTTTGTACACGTAGGACTGCTTTCAAAAACCTGGGCCACGGCTGCACTTGTATGTGGAAGCAGCTGTGTTTATGAATTCTTGAGAAAGCTTGCTACACATTGAACAAATGATTAAAACTACTGTTACTCTTTTCAGTCGGTTTGTTCATTGCGTCCCTTCTGTTATGTGTTTGAACATAGTAGAAACCACGATGATTCATTGTTGGGAATTTAAAACAGAATTACAGCAACCTTGAAAGTAAAAGAAAAAAGGGAAAAAAATAGCCCAGTATTCTCTTCCCCCCCCAACATTGCAGAGGCATGCTTGCTTGTTTGCTTGCTTGTTTGCTTGCTTAGTAGTACCTCATGAAAGGTAACACAATGAATCAGCACAGACTCTCATCGGTGAAGCGAATCCCATAGACAGTGTTGTTTTTTATTACACAACAGTTTGGGGATATTACATATTTTTTATACTTTCTCAAATGCCTGTGGGAAAATGGTTTTGCTACCAATATATAGAGGAGTTCAGGTGTATACTTCATGGAAGTTTTCCCTGATGAAATGCTGGAGTGAATGTGAGAAAAAAAACCCACCTCCATTATAGCCTTGAATCAAGTCTGCTAACCCCAGCCCATCTGTTGGAAAAAAATCTCAACTCGGAGATCTATCTGGTACCCTGGCCAGGGTCAAGGGAAATCTACTCCCCCTCTCCTGCACAACCATGATGTCTGGGGGAAAGATTTTCCAGGGAAACGTGGTTCTAACTTAAGAAAGTTGAGGAACCTTCCCCTCACGGCCACCCCGAAAAAACTTAATTTAAAAAGAACAAGGAGTGAAAGACATTTTTAAAGAGACGAATGGGCACGAAAATGACCAATTTGTTTTACAAATAAACTCAAAATTGATCCACTTTTACTGCTTTAATGATGTGTCATTTAGTTACTGATGAGTGCTTTGCCCCCTTAGAAATCCCTCGGGGGAAAAAGTATTTTGTCTCTGTAGCCCCACCGGGAAAAAGCCTTGTGACGTCCATGGATAATCGTGATTTTTTTCAACCAATACGAGTGATTTATCATTCATATTCTTCTATTATGCCTTCACTTTGGAGGCCATAATCTCCATTGTACGGGGCAGTCAGAAAGCGAATAATATTGAAAAAAAATCCAGAGCTCGGACAGTTAAGCTGCGGCTGAACTTAAAATTAAGGCCGTCTCCAAAACGGGCTTCCAGAGCTAGCTTCGGCTAGGGCTATTATCTGCGCGTCTCCACGCATTTCCAACGGAGCGAAGACACAGACCTAGCTCTAGACAAGAGATTCGGATGCAGCCTTAATCTGGAGGTCCTCACCTAGTACCTGACAACCGATTGAGGGCGCAAGCTGTGTGAACGAAAGCGCGCGCATGTGCAAAGTGCAGCTTGCCTGACCGACCGCCTGCTACTATGCTACCTTGCTAGTGCTACTGCTGAGCCAGTGGAATTCCACTTTTTGCCCATGTTTAAACTTTGTCTAACTTTGTGAATGTGAAGAATTGTGTGTCGAAGCAAGAACTACGTATACTACAGAAATGGGAATATGAGTCCAGCTTTCGACTGAGACCGCAAACATTCATTAGGCCTACCGAGCAACTGTTCAAGGTAAAACTTTTGCCCTAGGCTATAGTATGTGCAAATTAAAAGCTTTCCAAGGAGAATTCGGGAAAAATGTCAACAGAGCCTAAAGCTTACTTTACAGACTAAATACAAAAATGAACCAGTTAAAAAGTGTCTAGAGAATGTATAAATGATCGCTGTTCATTCATGACCGATGTTGGACGTCTGATACAGGCACTATGATGACTATGATCAACTTTAGCCAAATGGGCCTAGGCCTACTCGGTTACTAGGCCGTATATTATCGCAGTAACTAAAGCATTATCATGGTATCCGAAATTTTGAATTTTGCATTGCCAGTCATGCCAGTGAGTTCCTAATCAGCAACATTCACCCGGGTAATCAATAATTCATGATCTGAGGATAAGTTTATTGAAACTGTAGGCCTAATGGTATATAATTTTGTAACGACTACATGTATTTAGAATTTGTATTATAAATTTTTAATAAAATAGTTCAAGTCTAATGAGATGGTTA